TATATATATATATATATATATATATAAGAATATGTTTTTTCAAAGGACGTGGGATGTTATTATTTTTTAAAAAACTATTTTGTTAATCAATTTTTAATTATCGATATTTTATTATTTTTAAAAAAATTCAAAATTCAAGAATGTAACTACTCATTTAAACGTTTTTATCTTCTAAAATAGTAACTTCTTTTCTTTATTTAAAAAACAAATTATTATATTTGATTATTGATAATTTAAAATTTAAAAATTAGAGATTAGTTGTGGTGCTGACACATAGGCGCTATCACTTCTCATATTATATATATTTATATATAGAAAAGAATATATATATATAGAGATTAAAATAAAATTAACTGGGTTGGCTACTTAAAATCAGTTTTGGTAACAATCTGGTCACGTTTCCACTTTAAAGTCACATTTAAAATCAGTTTTATCTTTTTAAAAACAAAGTATATATTTATTTAACAGTTTTTTTTAATCAGTGGGCAGTTTTTTCTATTTATTTATTGAAAATGTCTGATGAACTATGTTTATTATTATTTTTATCTACAGTTGGTAATATTATTATTAAATAATAATTATTATTATTAAATAAGGAGGTTGTGGAAAGATTAAAAATATTTTTTCACAAAAAAAGGGAATCACACACACACGCTACATATTTAAAATTTAAAATTAGTTTAAAAATAAAATAGTAATTTATTATTTAATCCTACCACATGTAATTAATTTTAATTATTTAAAAATTTTATTTTTTGTGGTGCTGACACGTGGCGCTTTTAACCTCTCCTATTATATATAGATAGATGTTTGTTTTGGAGTTTTGAGAATAGAGCTATCTCTTGTAGGATGTATTTTATCCTTAAAAGTAGAATTTTTGAAGATTAATGTGAATTAATTAAATCTTAAATGAATACTCCCTCTGTGTCATTTTATATGTCATCTCTTTCTATAAATAGTTGGTCCATAATACTTGTCATTTCATAAAATCAATGCATAAATTATCATATTGTTCCTTTTTTACCCTTGTGAGTTATTAGCCTTGAAAATATACATTTTGACCAACTTAGAAAAAATTAGTAAATGATTCATGTTCATTGGTTAAATTAATTAATCAAAATAAATTAATTCATATTCATTGATTGAAAAACTTGAGTTACCAAAAAAAATTAAAATAAGGGTAGAAGGGTAATGTTACATCATTTCTTAATGCAAGTGCAGAGTAAAATGTGACATATAAAATGGGACGGAAGGAGTATCGAATAAAAAGTAAATAATATGTAACTATGTGAAGATTCAAATCATGTATTGGCACATAAATATACAAAACCACTGATTAAATTGTTATAGGCCTGAAGAGAGGATTCATAACTTGATAAAAACTATAGTGTATTTTCATCAACCTATTTAGGAAGAACTTAAAAGTTTTTTATTCTTTTTGGCAAATGGCTCTCTATTTGGATACTGAAAAGATGTAGTTTCAAATCCCAAAGTTAGGTATGGATTCAATACATCAATTAATTGATTATGTGTAAATTTCATTGAATTTGATACGTAAAAATGATGAAATTTAAGAGGTTAAAATTGGATATTTTAGACCTTATGTGTAAGTTTCATCGAATTGGATCAGCAAAAACATGAAATCTAAGAGGTTAAAGTTGAGGATTTTAGACCTAGACATTGCAATATTATATTTGACTGAGCAAACGTTATTAAAATTAGATTTTAATTATAAAATTGAATTTCATAGCTGATGAATAAGGTGTCCATGTATTTAGTTTTGGTTTTCGAATCGTAGACCAAGGGACGGGTTTGAGTTTCCCAAGAAAAGACTTTGACCTAGAATGTCCTACAATTTCAGGATCAGGTTCCTTGACTAATTTGTACTCCCTCCATCCTTAATTACTTGTTCACTTTTGAATTGACACACCTATTAAGAAAACAATTAATGAAATTGTGAGTTTATCATTTTACCCCTATTAATTATGAAGTGAATGAAAAGTTCTACATTTTTAAAAGTAATTAATCATTTAATTGAGGGTATAATAGGTAAAAATTTGTCCTTTCTTGATTTGTCAAAATGAACAAGTAATTAGGTATAATTATAAAAGGAAAAGTGGACAAGTAATTAAGGACAGAGGGAGAATTTGTTATTCATTATTTCAATTAAATTAAGATCATTGAGGCAAGTGAAACTTTTAACTCTTTATTTGCTTGTTTTTCCTTTTCGGGTAATGTTAAAAGGCCAGAAAATTTGACCTGAATTTGGCCAGAAAATTAAAAAGTTTGTAATATCTTTTCTATTTTAAAATAAACTAATATTTTTCCATTTTTTAATTAAAAAGTATTAAAATTAAAAGGGTAAAAATATTCAAAAAGGTAAAATATAGATAAAATACCATTCTAACTAAATTTTCTGGTCAAAAGGATTTTTCCTTTTCTTAAAAGTATGAGTATATATGTTGTTTTCCCCAAATCATTATATATGTGTTAGTTGTATGCATTTAAACCATTTATTTTATGTGAGTGAGCAAACATGAACTAGGTTGACAAGTTTTGAATAATCTTCGATACTTCTGACCGACTCCTTGCTCTGTTGTGATACCATTTAGTTTAGTATCGTTTAGAATGCTAATTACTCAATTAGTTCTAGCAGTTAAATATGTTTTCTTGTGATATTTGTTTAATTGCACATAGCTAGTGAGCACACACAATCTAGGTATGGTGATGTCATACGATCTGATAGTGAATATAGATAGTATCCAATAACACGTAAGGTTGATGCACCACACTATGCAATAAAAATATATATTTTAGTATCAATAAATATGTACATTAATAAAGAGTGTTAAATTTTTTACCAACATTAATTAATTGTCATTGAATACAATGTCACTATACACTTTAAGAACATTTACAAAGAGTGTTAATAACGTTTAAAAATACATATTTAGCAATAATTAAGTTGTTACAGTTAATTAACTATCGTTAAAAATATTTGGTATAGTGACACCAGACTACGAATACGTGTAGGACATGTGATTGATGTATCACACTAGGCGAGTTAGACAAACAACTTAATTATGTTTCATAGCAATTGTAGCATATATAACAGTTTGTACATCATGTCTACATGTATTAATTTATTTGTATTCGTGATTCCAACTCAGTTGCTTTATTTGTATTTCACAACTATACGTGTATTGTTATCTTGACGTGGTGTATGCACTATTAGATATTTCTAAAGACTAGCTCCAATAATGGGAGGCAATGAAGTGTTAATTAATTAGATTAATTTAAAGCAAGAGGCAGTAGTCCATTGAGTGAAGCTAACCATGTAATAATATGATATACATAGAGTTTCTTTATTTATTCACTTAAATATAATTGCCTATGCCTCAGGATATCTAAATCATCTGGTATGAGATTTGATTTAAAATTGGGAACTAGTTGTGTTTGACCCTTGAAAGAAGGGACATAAAAAGCATGTACTCCCTCCATTTTAAAAAGAATGATCTAGTTTAAATTGACAGTTGATATGGAGTTTACGCAAATAAAGAACACTTTTCAATTTTGTGGTTAATTCAAAATTAAAATTATATCAAATATTTCAAAATGTCTTTCAATCTTGTGGCATTTAAAACATATCAATGGAAAGCTAAAATTAAAGTATTATCAAAAAAAGAAAAGATATAGTAATTCTTTTTTTAAACAAGTCTAAAAAGATTAATAAGTCATTCTTATATATTTTGTTAAGCAGCCATCCATGATGGGAAATATAAAATTCATGAAACATGAGGGTAGCAGCTTGTTGACATGTAGTGTATAAATATGTAGCTATAGAAAGTCAATAGGTACTCCTCAAATGGCTATCAACTCAAACTTGTTTCATGGCTTCATTTGCATTTTGGTTGCAATAATATTATTAGGGTGTGTTGAGTGCAATAGAAAACTAGCTGATACGGCATCCCTCTTTGTGTTCGGTGATTCGATACTGGATCCTGGAAATAATAATTACATCAACACTACTAGTGATTATCAATCAAATTGGTGGCCTTATGGTGAATCATTCTTCAAATATCCAACTGGTAGACCATCTGATGGGCGTCTCATATCTGATTTTATAGGTAAGTAAGATCATCAATTTAACCAACTAAACAATACTACTAGTATATATTATTAGAAGTTATTAACACTTTTTGTACATAATTAGAAGTCATTTCTTTCCGAGTCAATCTTTTTTCTTTTACAGTAACCATGTCACTTTAAAAACCCACACAATAATTAACTATCAGAAATTTTCACAACTTGTCTCTTTCTTTCAACATCTATTTAGTAAATGACTATCTTTTAGAATATATTTCTTTTGCAAATTATGGTTTAAAGATTCATTTCAACAAACTGAAAATTTTATGAAAAAATGTTAGTTTATGCTCTAAAATTTTACATGTTATTATAAATGCTAGACAACAGTCTAATATTTTATAAGTAAGATTGATATATATATAAACAAACATTAGACCTAAATATAACATTGACCGATTGGATAATTTTCTTAGAGCTATATTTACCCTACTTTTAAAAATATGAATTATATTATGTCCTTAAAAAGAGACATTTGCATAGAAAGGTGATAACTGATGGAGTAGTAATATTAAAAAGAGGCCCGGAGATGACTTGTTGGAGCCGGTCAAATAAGGGCAAGTGTATAAATTCTTATAAAATTCAAATTCAATTAATATAAAATTGTATTAATCTAATCTAATTTGTAAAAATACGACATATCTTGATTTTGTCGGCTCAATCGTACATGTTGATTTAGCTAGCCAAAAATGGGGTATCAATATCCCAAAAGTATGACGGAGGGTATCTGCATACGATTTACGATAGTTTGGGGTATATTTGTCTTTTTTCCATATGGAAAAGGGACAAATATACCCTAGACTATCGTAAATCGTAGACAGATACCCTCCGTCATACTTTTTGAGACATTGATGTCCCTGCCGTTAAAAAACTAGAGCATATATGCCCTTCACTCTAACAGAAGACTAAATAGGGACACGTGACACAGTCTTATCCGTCGATTCAATATTTAATAAATGTCGGGTCGGTGGATAAAATTATGACATGTGTATGTCCGTTAGTATAAAGTAGTTTTTGGATGGCAGGACAACAATGTCCCAAAAGTATGACGAAGGGTATTTGCATATGATTTACGATAATTTGGAAGTATATTTATCATTTTTCTCATATATATATATAGTTGATTATTGAAGTTGTGGAGATGTAACTTATGGTCTGTTGTGTTATTGTTTGTAGCGGAATACGCTAATTTGCCACTCATTCCATCTTATTTCCAAATTGACAAGGAAGGATTTATTGATGGAGTCAATTTTGCTTCAAGCTTATCTGGTTCTCTCGTGGAAACCAACCGTGGTCATGTAAGTCGTATATTTTTTCTAACATTTTCTTAGATCTACTAATTATTACTCCTGCTTGCATTTGGTGTTTGTGTTTAGCCAATTTAGGTAAGCGTTATAAGTTGAAACTATCCAAAATTCGTTGGTCGTTTCAAATTAACGATTGACTTTTTATGTTTTTATAAGTAATGGGCCATTATCTAAATTTAGTCAGACATCAGGTGAAAATATATACAACTTTAATGACACTAAGTCCATTTTTACAAATAAAAAAGGGTCGATTCAAAAACTTGTTTAAAAAATAAATCACAACAAATTTTTATTATATTTATATCCAAAACATATAATTTCAGCATTTAAGATGTTACAGTATACAGTATTAACTGCCTTTAATCATATATGTTCACCTTAGCCAAATTAAGGTAAAACTAAAAATGCATTTTAAGATAACTCCCACGGTATAATTTTAGAGGCTCCAAATACTAGTTGAAAAAGAAAGAAAACAAAACAAACTCAAAGTTGATAAATTTCAATTCCCTGTATACAACTAGCTAGGGTTGGAGCTAGAGGGCCGGGGGTCAAGCCATCTTTAATTTACATAAAAATTACGTTGTATATATAGTAGAAGATGAATTTTTAGGATAAAAATCTTGCCTCGTTCTCTTAATGCAACCACCTATATATGTGTTTACTCGAACATCGCTTGAATTCACGAAAAACAGTAGCAAATATTCGTCTCTTGATTCTTCCTCTAACTGGCGGAACCCTCACATTCACACTACTCTTTCTGCTTGAGAATGACATTGATTCTTTGGTATTTGGTAACATAGTAAAATGATCTTTTTAATTTGGTGATATTATGCATGAGGAAATGGACATTACATGTAAAAGTAGTATTCTAGTTTTTTATATTTTTTTATATAGAGACAATAATGTAACAAGGAAATAGGAAGCTTCGTGCCACCTTCCATCACCTTATTATGATGAAGTTATTAGTTGTATATATTAGTGACTCACAAAAAACGGCTTTGCTGGAAAGAAGCTAACATTTTTTGTCGTTTTACAAACTATCTTGAGTATACTCTATATATAAATCTACACCTTACAAATAAAATAAAACACATATATAGTCTATAGAGGATAATACATGTTTTCATGTTCCAAAATGGCCTATGTTTTAGATATGTAGGACTATATATACTGTTGAATTGGATATGCTAAGTTCGTTTTGTTCTTTAGATTAGATCAAGGCATTATAATACCTAAAGATCACATTTTAAATTTTGTGTGTTTTATTCACATCTCTTTACCCCAAAAAAAAATGATGATGATGTGGCAACCGTTAATTGCCACATAATCCTACACAATGTTTTTTTTTTCCAATTATAAATTTCTTCTTGTTTCAGCTTAATATATAATGCAAATTTTACACAACATTGGGTTTTTAAAATCTGTTCTTTAAATAAAATAACAACTTGTTTCAACTATTTATTTCAACTGTGTATTTATTTTATTATTAGGCCAATTTGAAGAGGAAAAAATGGCCTAACTCTATTATTTTAGCCAAATAAAATTAGTTTTGAACTATTTATTTTTTCATACAATAACAATGACCACTTATTTTTACTGTGTAATTTTTAGTCCAAAATCAACTAAATTTCTTTAGAATATCATTATTTTTAGTCAAAGAAAAATATTTAATCAAAATAATGGAGTTGAAATTGTATATGTTTTTTTAATTTCTTATTTCGATGCAATGACCATTTTCATTACTTTTTTATTTTGAGCCAAATTTATATTAAAAAATAGAACAACTTTCACATATAGCAAACAATAAAAAGAGAATACTTAGTTATGACTCCTTTTTTTTTTTTGTGAAATAAAAAGTTTAAGCAGAACGAATAAAGTTCACTTTTTCTATTTATTACCAACTCTTCTTATTTTGAACAAATATTTTCTTTTTGTATATTTACGAAATTATTTTCCTCCGTTCTTCCTTACATTCACATCAAACATGATTTCGTGTCGAACCGAGTCTTCATCTTTAAACTTTTTATTTGATGGGACTTCAGGTCTCGCTATTTTCGTTTTCTAGATCACGCCTTAACCTTGTTAGATATAAAGTAAAGTTGGCTAACTGTTTGGAAATCTTACGACCACATATATAGCCCGCAACGTTTTTCACTGCATCGCATTTGCTAGGACTGAATCCTAGAAAAATAGTCATCTAATGCTTAGTGGGAACAATTAGAACAAATCTTAACCTGTAATTTTTAATTATTAAATACATGTGACTTCCATCCAGGAGTTAGGGAAATTAAGAGATTGAATAATGAAGAGGAGCCTCATATGTCAATATCCATGTAACATCATTTAAGTTTGTAATAGTCCAATATTATGAAGCTTTGTGAAACTAATTAGTACTTATATAACAAAAAATAAATATTTGTGAATATTCATGTAGCAGGCACACTAAAAACATTATTCTTAATTTTGCAGGTAATAAACCTTAAAACACAATTGAAATATTTCAAGAAGGTGACAAAATTGTTAAATAATAAAGTGGGAGACAAGCAGTCCAAAAAACTCATCTCAAATGCTGTTTACATGTTTAGTACTGGAACAGTTGATTATGGTGAAGCTTTTCGAAGAAGCCCTGATTTAATTCACTTTCCATATCCTAAACAACAATTTGTAGAAATGGTATTATCAAATTTCACATCCGTTTTGAAGGTATATATATAAATAGCATTTGAATGTAAATATCTTTCTATAAAGGGAAAAGGGTCCGAAAAATACTTTAACTTTGGCCGAAATTGTTGTTACGATACCAAACTTTATGGAAGAACTTTTACCCTGCACTATACAATAGTGTATTTTAAAGTTATATATGTGTCCACGTGGACATCATAAATATTGCATCATTATAAATAGTAACGTGTCCACGTGGGCATATATATACCTTTAAAATACACTATTAAATAGTGTAGGGGGTAAAAGGTTTTTTCTAAAGTTCGGTATTGTTACAACAATTTCGGTCAAAGTTCAGATATATTTCCCTTCTATATAATTAATTATTGTGACTAATATTATGTATTGTAACAGGAAATTTACAAGAAAGGAGGAAGAAAATTTGCCATATTTACTTTGATTCCCTTAGGTTGTTTTCCAGGTGCTAGGGCTTTTACCTTTCAACAAAACAAGAGTGGTGAATGCATAAATGAACTAAATGAGATACTGAAAATGCATAGTTTGGCTCTTCCGAAAACGATGAAGAAATTACAAGATGAATTAGCAGGATTTAAGTATACATTGTTTGATCTATATGAAGTAATTGATCAAAGAATCAACCATCCTTTGAAATTTGGTAAGTTTTATTTTTACTTGGCTTGAAATGATTGATACTCACTACAACAAAAACAGCGGCAATAAATAGAAGAGTGCTAACGTCTTTACCAGCATTAGTTAAGTGTCATTAGATCCAGTGTTGCTAGAGGCTTTAGGAACATATACAAAGGGTGCTAATTACCGCTAAAAATACATAGGTAGTGGAAATTAAGCTATTGATGTTGATTAATTGCTGCTAAAAATCATTTTTGATGTAACGACTCTATCCATGGATTTTCATGTTTGTGTAGGGTTTGAAGTATCAAAGAAGGCATGTTGTGGTACAGGACCCTTTCGAGGAATTAACAGTTGTGGAGGAAAGAGGCAAGTTAAAGAGTACCAACTTTGCAAAAATCCCAAAGATTATGTATTTTTCGATGCTTCGCATCCCTCACAATCCACCTACCAACAGTCTGCTAAACTGTTATGGCATGGCGATCCGCATGTCACTAAACCTCATGGCCTAAAATCTTTTTTCGAATTTTCAGGCTAAATCCACCATAAAATTGGTGTGCACTATTTTTTATTTTTTTTGGGTCCTCCAACTTGTATGCATACATTTCTACTTCAACTCACAAACTAAAATAATACTGCATTTGCTTTTTAGAATATGGACATCTCTTGATGTAATTGTTTGCTTCAAATTAATTGCAATGAAAATAAATTTTAAAAGTAACTTTTATTCATGAATCTTATGAGTATAATTCTATTGTTTTCTTGATTCTTCTCTCCTAAATTTCTCTGCGCTTCAATAGCCTTCAATGGTGTATTTTCATGTTGCATGATGATTTGGATCTCCTAGAAATTTATTTCGGTCATTAGAGATGTCGGGCAACACATGTAGGTTATTAAAATGGTTAGAACTTTTTACTAGAAACTTGAAGTGTTGCAAAATTGGTGGCGTTGGAAAGAAGATTCAAATACCTTTAATTTGATAGGTTGTGGGTCATGTAACTCTTTAAATTCTAAGAAAAATAGTCGTTTGAAGTTGACTCAAATAGAATCTTACATCAAAACTTAATCGGTATAGAAACTTTCAACTCAACTTTTTGCTAGGGAATTCTAGTGACCTTAATTCATATCCAAATTCATTCTTGCACTAAAAAATTGACCTTTACACATATGGGCAATTTAAGAATCACCTGGTACGATCTTATTCACAAATGAAGAATGGTTCGGGTCATAACTTAGAAATTTTTGGGGTGTTACATTAATAAGAATTTTACAATCTTTCAAGTTCTTACTATATCTGAAAATACCAAACTTCTAATATTCAACTATTAGAAAATGATCATTCATAATCTTAATGAGGTCATGGATTACCATGAGAAGCACGGTTAAGTTATCTAGTCATATATAATGTTTGAGCCCTAAATTTTTTATTTGGCATATATAGTAATACTAGTGGACTTAAATAATTATCTCAAAATCAAAAAGATAATTAAATTCCTCCAACTTGATTAACATTACTGTAGTACTAACAAAAAGGTGACTTCTTGTGACAAAATGAAGAAATATGAATTTAATACTAAATTTGCAACAAAGTTGAGTAATGAACAGTTAAAATAGTATTACAACAATAAACTTTTGGTGTTTGTTCTTGTTACATTACTCTCAAACAAAACTACTTCAACATTGCTTTCAAAATAAATAATTGCATTTTATAGCATATTAATGTATAATTAAACATACGAAAACTTTAATCCAGACCCTTGAAACTTTTCTTCAATGATATGATTGAGTTTATCGATCATCTCTATAGTAAAATAATTCTTCCAATCTCCAATTTCTCCTCTACGAAAGAACACTTTATATGGCTCTCCAGTTGAAAACTTTCCATTTGTATTCACCTCCAAATTTCTCAAATTCTCAAAGCTACACATTTTTAATATCTCATCCACCACTCCTGAATTTTCTTCCTCTATGGAAAATGGACATTCCAAGAATTCAGCCAAGCGTTTAAGCTGAATCTTTGGTTTCTTTTTAATTTCTTCATACATTAAGAAAAGTATTTTGTTAGGATTTTCTAAGCTTTGTTTCCAATAATCCAACACGTGATTCCAAAATGGACCATAAAGGCTCACCCCCTTACAAAAAAGATCAAACATTTCTTCAATGGAATTAGTATCTTTGTGATGAAGTAATAAATTGTTTGCAAAATGCCACATAGAAATAAAAGTGTCCCTAGGATTCCTACATAAGTAAACAAGTTTGGTTTTTGAATCCTGGACTGATTTTGGCAATGAAGCAAAGGGCACATGAGTTGCCAAGAGTCTAGGTGAAGTGAAGGTTGAAAAATCAATGACTCGACCATCAATATAGAGTGTATGCTCCAAGAATGGAACAAGAACATGAGGGTTCTCGACAAGTAAAGGGTGACTAGGTTCAAAAATAGGATGTTTCACCCGATTCACTAGAGCGAATAAAAGTGATTTTAACCAAGTACTTCCTGATTTTGGAGTTGTAACAAGAATGATATCACTATCTTGAGCTTGAAATTGTTGTTGACATGCAATCACACCTTGAAGAAATTTTAGTGATGTCCAAAAACCTTGATAATTGTAGACTGATCTAACCCATCCTTTTTCTTTTGGTAGGATAGAGAGCAATTTCTTACACTCTTCACTTAGGTTATCCTCTTCTAAATATTCGGGAAGAGAAGTTGTCATGATTTTGCGGATTGAATGTTTTCTTCAAGTTTGGGGCTTTTATAACAGATACGCATGAATAATACACTTACTAACCATGTGAATGTTTAGTCATACACTTCATGTGAGCTCACCACTTCACATTTTTCATGTCTTTCTATTAGTAATAATTACTTTGATTCACTTATTTGATTTATCTAAAGATTTTTATTAACGTGAGTGTGTCAGAATAGTTAGTGAAGCAATCAAAACTCATATTAATTTCAAGATGAATTTTTTGGTATTTATTATATCACTATTCTTCAATTTCTAATTATGAAAATCTAATTTAAACAATAACAAAAAATAATCCAATTTAACCATATACTTCCCCCATTACTTTTAGTTACCCTTGATAAACTTTGCACTCCTTTTAAAAAAATATAAATGACGTGAATATTTTACTATTATATCCATATTAATTTATATATATTTGTAATAGACTTATGAATGATTTGGAAAATGGATAGTTAATGTTAAGGATAAAATTTACAGAAAAATTGTCTTTATCTAGTATGCTTGTCACGATCCAAAGAACACCTTAGACGTGACATGGCGTATAAGGCCTCGAGAGGCCCTACACAAGCCACTTAGCATATATCATACAAGATAATAGAAGTAAAGTGTTCAAAGAGATAGTCATATATCATAAAGAGTTTGACAAAAGTGGAAGTACTTAATACTACTTTTGACTGGTTCTTGAATTTGATTGAGATTGTCAAATCATATGAACACGTGACATCATCTTGTGGTCTTGAAGTTGATTGGGATGTCAAGTTATCAACTTGACACGTGACATGAAATTGGACGTCGAGATAAAATGGATCTAGAACTTAAATGTCACGATCCAAAATTGGATCATGATGACACCTACCATAAACTTCAGTATGCAAGACAAACAAGCAATAGATATATCTAGAATATAAATACGTGGGAGAAAATAAACATAGAATAGGATCATAGTGTAGATATGTATATAATGATAAAAAAAAATTACAAAAATGGGTCCAAAAGTGATCAAGAAAGACAAATATATATGAGAACTAAACCCTGAATCTGGAGTCACCGGTACAAGATCATCTAAGTACAAAAAAGAGACTATATAAAAAAGAAATTCTAATCAAAATATAAAATAAACAGATAATATAAAATACTATGATATCACCATCTTGAGGCAGAGGGATGTTGAGGCAACGCAAATGACTTGAGTTACTGAAGGACTATGATATCACCATCTTGTATCATCCGGAGAAGGACAATGTGGTGGCCAATACTTTAAGTAGAAAGACTTATGATGTTATCAGTGTTGAGGAGAGACCATTGGCTAGAAATATTCAGAGGTTACAACAGTTTGTCTGTTTGCAAATTTCTGAGGAGAGTGGTGGTTTGATTACTTTCAAAGAGGCTTGATCTTTCTTAATTGAGCAGATCCAAAAACGCCAGTTTGATGATAAGAAGTTGTGTCTCATTCAAGACAAAGTGTTAAGTATGGAAGCAAATGAGGCTATCCTTGATTTTAAGGGTGTCTTAAGGGTTGGAGGTAGGATTTGTGTGCCCAAGGAAGGCGAGTTGATTAGATTGATTCTTAAGGAGGCTCATTGTTCTCGATATTCCATCCATCCTGGATCAGTGAATATGTATCATGATCTGAGTCAGCAAAACTAGTGGTGTGGTATGAAGAGGGATATTTCAGATTTTGTATTTTAGATTCTTGACTTTCCAATAGGTCAAGTGTGAGCGCCACCGGTCCAAGGTAAGTCGCAGAGCATACCTATTCCTACTTCGAAGTGGAAACGGATCACCATGAATTTTTTTGTAGGTTTGCCTACAACCGTGGGTGGTTATAACTCTATTTGGGTGGTCGTCGATAGGCTGACCAAGTCCACCCATTTCATCCCAGTTCCGGTGAAGTATACGACGGAAAAATTAGCCCAGTTTTACCTTAGTCACATAGTCCGACTTCATGGTGTGCCTATTTCCATTGTCTCTGATCGAGGTGCACTATTCACATCCCACTTTTGGAGGGCCTTACAATATGATTTGAGTACTCGGTGTTATATGAGTACAATGTTTCACCCTCAGACAAACGGGCAGTTCGAGCGGACGATTCAAGTGTTTGAGGACATGCTTCGAGCATATGTGATTGACTTTGGTGCTCGACGGGATCAACACCTGCCCTTTGTAGAGTTTCCTATAATAGCAGTCATCACTCCAGTATTTAGATGGCCCCATTTGAGACATTATATGGTAGATGGTGTAGATATCTGATTGGTTGATTTAATTCGGTTGAGATGGACTCTTTAGACACAGACTTGCTTAGAGATGCCATGGAACAGATCCGTATGATTCTCGGTAGACTGCCAGAGAAGACATAAGAGTTATGCAGACCAAAGAGTTCAAGCCTTAGTATTTATAGAGGGTGATCATGGCTCTGAATTTCACCCATGAAGGGTGTGATGAGGTTCAAGAAGAAAGACAAGCTTAGCCCTAGATTCATTGGCCCTTTTGAGATTTTGAGCCGAGTGGGCGAGGTGCCTACAAGCAGGTCTTTCCTCCTAGCTTGTCAGTTGTGCATTATGTGTTTCATGTCTCTATGCTTTGAAGTATAGTTAGATGAGTCTCATGTACATTCGCTTGATTCGGTAGTGTAAGGGCTAGACTTGTCATTTGAGAAGAAGCATATATTCATTCTGGATAGGCAGGTTTGAAAACTTAGGACCATAGAGATTGCTTCAGTTAAGTTGTAGTGGAAGCACCGTCCAGTTAGAGTGGCAACTTGGGAGACGGAGTCAGATATACGGGCTAAATATCCCCAATTTTTTTAGGTTTCATTTATTTCCTTTTACTTTATGTTCGAGAAAGAACATGGTTTTAATAGTATATAATGTAATAACTCGATTGGTCATTTTTTTAAAAATTATTT